TTCGAACGCCCAGGCACGCCCAAGCAAGACAGGTGGTTCCAGGTACCCTGCAATTGTGCCCCTGGTGGATCACAGCGAGGCACGCCAGGCAAGGGGCATTCTTGGCATGAAATGCCAAGAATGGGGGATTGCGCAAGGGGGTTCGCCGACAGCAGCAGCGGTGTTAAGTCAGAGGGCCCATGAAATCGACAAATCAAGTCCCCGTCAACTCGAACGAGTTTGAATGTTGAGTGTGGACCGGACGGAGGGTTGTGGTGATGTTGCTGCAACGAATCAAACAACATATATAATGCCCTATCCTAGTCCAGTACCGAGTCATGGACGCGCTCGCGAAACCACGTACATACACACCTATATCTACCCAAAATATGAAACCCAATATACCCAACATGCCATGCCGCTCACCATCCATCGCCATCTATAGGTAGTTACATGATACTCCCGTTCCCATCCGAACCCCATCCCAAACCCAATCACAGCATATACCTAAACCCCCTCTCCCTCTTTCCACGCCCTTCCACCTCTACCCCGCCACCAACCAGCGCCTCCTCCTCCTCCCCTTCCCCCTCCCTCCCATCACCATCACCAACCCCCTCCTCCCGATCCCACCGGCCGATTCACCCTCCCCAACCAAACCCTCAACCCCCACGCCAACACCGACGCCTATACCATAGCACCAGCACACACCGCCATGGGCCGCGTATAGTACGGCGCGTCCCCGTCCGGATACAGCCGCGTGCCCACCAGCGGGACACACTGGCCCACGACCATGCAGCAGCGCATTAACCCGGCGCCCATGGCGCGCGCGTCCCCGCGCTCGGTTGATGATGCTGCCACGTGACGATCAGCACGACGACGTTGATAAGAACCCCACCGCCGCCAGGGGTACACGGCCAGGTATGCGCAGCAGGCTGCCGGGCTCCGAGGCGCAGGAGGGGTGTGTTGGCGAGCGCCAGGAGCGGTGTACCCCGTGGCGGAGGCTAGGGCGTGGTGCGATGAGGAGAGGGGGCGCGGGAGTGCGTCGCGTCGGAGGCGTAGGCGGTGGTGAGGACGAGGAGGAAGGCGGTGAGGTAGGGCGGTGCGGAGAGGGCTTGGGCTTGGAGCGGTGTGTGGCCCATGGCGGTGAGGATGGTCGGGAGAAAGACGGGGAGCGAGGAGTAGGCCATGTTGGTGAGGATGAAAGATGAGTGCCGTGAGCCAGGCCGGCGGGGTCTGTGAGGACAGCGAGGGGTGTCGCGGGTGGCGGTTGAAGGGGGGTTGGTGGTGGGGGTTGTTTGGGGGGTGGAGGGTTGGAGGCGCAGGCGGGCGACTTTCTTTTCGCGTGCTGTGAGGTAGGGGGCTGTTTGTGGCGAGTCGGGGATGATGCGATAGGCGACGGCCGCGACGAGGACGGAGGGGAAGCCTTCGATGAGGAAAAGCAGGCGCCAGGGGGCGATGGGGCTGTACTCGGCGAGCCTGACGATCAGCCAGGCGAGAGAGGCGGCGAAGGAGGTTGCTAGAGGAGCGGCTGTGCGTATACTGTCAGTAGGTAGTGTGGTCGGCCGGGGGTGCTTGCGTAGACATACCCGATACGAACATCGCCGTCCTAAACGCCAGTTCGTCCCGCTTGAAAAAGAAGGACAAGTAGAACGGTACGCCCGTAAAGCCCGCCTCTCCAATACCCAGCAGAAACCGCAAGAAGATGAGCATGGGGTAGTTGACAGCCACGGCCTGCAGCGAGGCTATCACGCCCCATGACATGACCAGCGCCGCCACGTAGATGTGCGCCGGTATAATCCGCCAAAGGAGCGCCATCCACTCGAAGACGATGTAGGCGATGTAAAAGGCACCAAGCGCCCACTCGTACCAGCCCTCGCGGGGCGGCACAGACTGCAAATCGTCGTCCATGCCGGCGACACGGGCGTTGCCAATGTCTGTAATTTGTGAGCGTGGGATACCCGGTAAGGGAAGGGGAACGGGGGGACATACTCGAGCGGTCCAGGAAGCTTAGCATATACAGCAGAGCAACAAACACCACCAACTTCCGGTCAAACTTGCGCACGACAGCTTGCTCTTCCTCGGCGGTATACAGCTGCCGTCGCCGCCGAGGCCGCCGCGGGCGTTCATCCGACGACCTCGCTTCCTCCTCATCAGACCTCCCTTTCACCCTACCCCGAAGCCCGTCTTCCTCATCCTCATCGTCCTTCTCCTCCTCACCATCATCACCTTCTTCATCACCATCCTCATATTCGTCCTCCGACCCGGTATCAGGAGTCAGCCGCCTGCCCGGCCGTGACCCCGACCCCCCCGCTACCACCGCCCCCGAAGACGAGGACGAAGACGGTGAAGCCGGCCACCCAGCGCCGCCATCACCACGGCTGTGACCTTCCCCTCCCGCTGGCCCTTGCATCAATCTCGCCGAACTCGACGGCATGGTGTGCACGGATGATGAACCCTGATAACTATGATTCGTCACAGGCGGTCAGCGTTGATGATGCTACGGGTGGACCCGAGTGTCAATCAGGTAACTGAATCGAAACTCCAGGGGATCTAAGACATGGTGACGGATGATCCCGGCGGTGCTCTCGTTATCTCAGCCGTGGGCTTCAAAGGTTGAGGAAACCCTGAAGTTGGGCCAAATAATTGGAATTGAACCCTGAGTCGTAACTAAAGGTAACTACAGGACGGGAAATGACGATGAGTTCAGCCAGGGACACAGCCTCTCACAGTCCGGTTGCGCCATCAGCGCACTGTTCTGTTCCCTCCCGTCCTGTGATTGCACAACACGGGACCAGGGAACCCCGCGTTCTCTCTCAAGACACGAGGACCTCATGCAGGGCGCTAGTTAGTTTGAGTGGTCAGCATTCAACTGTGGGAGCCTCTTTCGTCTGAACTATCAAGGAAATGATCCAAGCAGGTGGATGTTTCAAAGTTTCAACATGACACAGGCATCATCAGCACATACCAAGCACAAACGAACAAGAGAGCACAATATCAGCGGACATGTCAGCTTCATCTATCTTGCCGGATCTGCTCGAACTTGAACAAAAATAAACACGCAGCGAGCCGCAATCATCAGGGCGCAGAATTCATGCACGACAGGCTCATCAACAGCACCTCCCTCCCAATCAACCCAACCACCCTCACCTCCTCAGAGCCCGCGTTCCCCTACAATCACCAACCACGCCCACAGATCCTCTGAAAGCCATTTTTTTTTGTTCGTATCCCCATCCATCCAACACCCTGCCACCCAACAACAACACACCAACTCCATCTGGCAAGGTCCACCTCCATCCACCCTCCCCTTACCAACTCCTCCCATCCCAAAACACACTCGCATCCCCCCTTCATTGCTCATCCCGGGTCCCGCACCACCGCATCACAAGACAATAGACAACAAATAATGGAAACAAAATAACAAAAGAAAATAAAAATAAAGGACAAATAAATTAAGTAAGGCCAGACACCGACCTGCCCTCACCCGCCAGTCAGAGACAAGACAAGACAGACAGACCAACCAACAACGCGGATCAACCCCAAAATGAGGTACCACCGCGCGCCGCACAGCCTGCCGCCCCGCATTCCCGAACCCAATCGAGTCCGAAACACGCATGACAGGCGAGGGAGGGAGAATCGAATCCGGCAATAACGTAAGGTAATGTGCAAGGTAAAAGGGTAAGTAAGGAAAAAACTGTTGTAAAACTAAATTCCTCTGACCGGGTTGCCGCCGCCGCCAGCCCTTGGCAGGTTTTCCGCCAATCCCGACTCCAAAAAAGCTGTATACAAAAAATGGGGGAACAGGGCCAGGACCTCGGTCCCGTCCGGTCAGGGTATCATCTCCAAGAAGTGTTTAAAAAGTTGGTTAAAACATGGTCCGCCAAGAAGTAGATAAACAAAAAGTAAAAAAAAAAGATTTTCGAGAGGTCGAGGTTCCGCCGAGCGTTTCGTCTGTCTATAGATAGGGTGGTTGGTGGTTGAGGGTCGGTGAGGCGCGTGAAGCAGGAAAAAAGAAACAACTCGGGGTGCGGCGGGTGCGTGGTGTATGTATGTAGTGCGATACGATACAGACAGACAAGGTCGCAACAGCCAGCCGAGGGGTATCGAAGCATAAAAACGGTTGTTTCCGCGTCATGTAGATGGCGAGATATGTCGAGGTTTTGGTTTGAAACGTGGTTCGAGAGATGACGCAGAAAAGGGTAAAAAGACATGGCCATGGCAAAATCGGAGTCAGGTTAGGTCATCATGAGGGGGGTGCTGGGTAGCACAGGAGGGACACATCAGTTCCAGCCGAGCGAGTTTCCGGCTGCGACGGGCGCCGAGATGAACTGCGTCCGCCCCGAATTGCCCATGCCGCTCCTGCCACTGCCCTGGCTGTCTCGCCCGCCCGCCGGCATCGCCCCGTAGCTGCTCGTGAAGTCGCGACTGAGCAGAGCGCCGCCCATAAGCGCGGGACTTCCGCGCCCGGCCTCGCTCATCTCGGACGGGTTGCTGATGGAGCTTGCGCGGCGATGCGACTGCTTCTTGCGCTTGTACCGCCGCGCCACGACAAACATGACCACACCGTACGCCGCAGCCACGGCGACCGCACCACTGACGATACCCGCCGTCGTGCCCCGCTGCGCACTGCTCTGGCCTTCCGAGTTGCCGTCGCCGCTGCCGCCAAAGGGGTCATTGCTGGAGCCGCCGCCACCGCCCGAGCTGCCGCCCGCAGACCCACCCGCGCCGCCGTCCGGCCCGTCGGGCAACTGACCAACCTCGATGGGAATCGCCGGGTTGATCTGCTGTGTGAGGTTATAGATAAGCTGATTGTCATTGTGGTACAGGGCCGCGTTCGGCAGCTTGATGTCGATAGACAGGGCTTCCACCATGCTCCTCGGGTACGATATGATGGCACACGTCGTGATGTAGCCCAGCGAGTTCTGCGTATCCATTGGTACCAGCCGCTTTACCTGGGCCTTGTTGATATCGAACCCGCCTGCGTCGGCCAGGGCTTGAGGAAGGTACTTGAAAATCTGAGCCGCAGCCCTGTCCTCCGCAACAACAAACGGATAGTTGTATCCCTCGCGGAATCCAATCTGGATGAGTTTCGTATCCTCGGGCTGCTTAGTCGGGCCAGTGTTCGGTGCAATTGCTGAGGGGAGACGACTCGGGATACCACTCGCGGTCGTCGGCACTAATCCGGAGGCTGTGGTCGAAATGGGGTCCACAAGGATTGTCGAGGGGATATACGGCTGCGTGGGCTCAAACGACGTGGTGATCAGCGGGATGCTCGTAACACCAGCTTCCGGCGGCTCGCTGGTGGTATCGGATGTCTTCGAAGGAGGAGGGGCGGTGGTAGTCGGCGGGAGCGACGTCTCCGTGGGGATTGTGCTATTGCCGGTCGGAACCGAACTGTTGCCGGGCAAAGAGGTGGGCCCGCTGCTCTCTGGCGGCGGCAGAGTGAAACTTGTTGTTGCGTTGGTGCCAGTCCCCGGGATGCTAATCGAAGTGCTACCGGGAGGGGCTGGTGTGGTCGTGCTTTCAGTAGCCGAGATGGTCGAGTTTGTCACCGGAGGCAGACCCGGGTCGCTGATGGTTGTCGATTCCGACACGGGCGGCTCGGTCACCGTCGCCGGCGCACTTGTTGTAATACCCGTGCCGGGTCCGGTAATACCGTCCGTGGGGCCCAAAACCGAGGTGGAAGTGGCTGTGGCATTTGGCGACGGTTCGAAAACGCTGGAAATGACCGAGTCGATGTCACTGAGAAGAGAGCTGAGCGGGTTGCCAGGTTCAGAGCTGCTTGAGCTAGGCGTCACGATGCCAGTTGGCGCAATCAGAATTCCGGATGTGCTTATCGTCGGGACCGGGAGCTCCTCAGACGTCGTTGTTTCCTCCGGGCCTGGGGTGCTAGTCGATGTGGGTTCGTCATCAACAATGCTGCTCGTGTTGTTGCCGAGGACCGGCGGCAGAACGGTTGAGGAAGGCCGTTCGGGCTCGCTGGTCGAGGTTTCGCTCGATGAGCTGTCGTCGGGTGAGCTGGTGCTACCAGGCGCTGTCTCGGTAGAAGAAGGCGTCTCAGACGAGCTCTCAGTAGAGGAAAACGTCTCAGACGAGCTCTCAGTAGAGGAAGGCGTCTCAGACGAGCTGTCACTCGTTGAGCTGCTGCGAGCCGAGCTCCTGGTCGACGAGGAAACACTGGACGAGCCGTCCGTGGCAGAGCTACTATCCGATGGCTCGCTAGTGCTGCTGTCGGATGAGCTTTCACTCGAGGAGACACTGCTGGATGCGCTCTTAGTGGTGGAGGTGGAGTCCGAAGTGGGAGTTGGGAAAGGTGGCGAGACAATAACTGTGACGGGAACAACAATGGTTGTCACCCTCGAGTCGCTGGACGAGTCCGATTCCGAGTTGGACTGCCTTTTGGTCGTGTCTAGCGAGGTAGATGGCTTGAAGCTCTCGTGCGATGTCGTTGTCGCGTTGGTGAGTTGCCGCTTGACATGGCGGGGGAAATAGTACTTCGGCTTCGCCCCCTCCTGACTAGCTACCACCGACGAGACCGCCACCAAGGCGGCGGCCAATACTGAAGATGTTTTCATTCTACCTCTCTATGGCGTCTCGGTCATGCGCTCCAAAGTCTCGTGAGTAGGTTGGGAAGCGAGGCACCTCGCGAAAGGAGTGGAAGGTTCTGCCGACGCAGAAGATGTCAAGTCAGTATCACCAACGGTGTCGATGGCAGTGATGTGGCACTCACTTGTCAGGGGTATCGTAATGAGTGTACTTGACAAAGATAGTGAACGAGTGTGGTTCTATATCGGCCAGAGGGTCAGTCAACATTATTCCTAGCGTGATGCCAGAGGTCGGGGAGCATCGACGATCCGCAAGATCAACCAGAACACAACAGGAGCTTCGCCGAACGCCATAGGCACAGGCTGGCACGGGTCTCGCCCTGCTCGTTGCACCGGGAGTCCATGCGCCCCGAAGCGGGCCCCCAATGCCTCCCCGAGTCCCTCCCTGTACACCGTCCTCCTCCCAGAGTTGGACTCACAATTGGCGATTCGAGGGAACCCGATATGAGCCCTCTAAATAAATCAAAAACGACGGGTTGCGTATAAAAGAGCGACTTGACGAAAAATCGTCAAAACTTGGTGTTTATTTTTCGGTATTAACGGTGCTTCACCTGCGTGGTATCGAGAGCTCGCGTTCACGGGTCATGACAAGGCGGGCATCGGGGCGGGAATCTCGGTCGGTCTTCCGGGAGGGTCCTTTTTCCAGGGCGCAAAAAGGTCGGATGACGGCGGGAATGCGCTGGTCGGTCGTCGAGTCGCGAGACTGGTCTAAAGGGGCGACGTCGTCGAGGGGAGATCACCGGAGGTGGGAAGTGGGATGTCGAGTGAAGCAGAAAAGAAAGGGAAGGATTGGCTTGAGAGAACGGAACGGGACGCAACCAGAGAAAGAACACCCCAAAGCGAAGCGGAAGAAACAACAAGGGGCTGGAGAGGGGGATTGCAGGAACGGAAGGGCTTTGGGGCGGAGTGCTGCAAGGGTGCGAGACCCAGAATGCAGAGCGAGCAATGAGGGTAGCAACGGGGAAGATTACACCAGCCAGGGCACAGGGCACTGAGCGCTGAGCGGCTGGTTGGGTCTGGGGGCGGGTGGGGATCGCTAGGGTTCCAGGTACCGGCGGGTTGACATCGCACGGGTGGGTACCTTAAAGCTAACGAGCTGAAACGGAGCCTGGCTCGGCAGCAACGGCGACAATGACCAGGCCTAACTGGAGTTCTCGCCGCAAAAAACTGAATACGAGCAGGCCCAAGAAACATGACGTTCTGAGCTAATTGTTGAGATTGCCCGGCAATATTCGTACCTTCACGTTATCCATTATAAGATCATGCCAACGCAAAATAATCACGGAGCGCTGAGATAGGGACGGCGCTTCTCGGATGTTGGCGACGGGGAAGTGGGAGACGCGATGAACTGGATGAAATGGGACGCAGCAAGGGCTTGCGGGCTGCCAGGCACCATCCCGCCATCCGAAAGTCCGTTGGTGGTGTCCAAAGGGGCAGCTGCTGGGCAAGGTGGCGGCGCGTGGCCCGGACCTGAAAATGGAGCGACAGAAGTATTAAGTACTTTTGACGAAACGGTTTTGCTGTGTTTGTCCCTAGCATTGACCAAGAAAATGAGGTATTGCAACCTTTCAATATCTGGGAATGGCATGCAAGAGCAACCCCACCTGCACCGTGCCAAGAATTAAAGCCCATGTGGTTGGTTCGCGCTGAAGGAGCACCCCACTCGTGGTGATATTGCTCAGTTACGCCATGCGCAAGATCCCTGCATCACGGCAAAAAGATCAATCTCAAAGCCTGCAGACGCGCGCAATCGCTTTGCAAAGGCCGCCTTCGTTCGGTGCCGGCAAGCATTGAAATGTCATGATGAATTTGATGAATTCTGCAAGACCATGGTAAAAACACGTGCTGGCTCCCTTCCAATTTTCTCGCAGGGCAGAACCCGCTGATCCCCATTTATGAGCCAATGCAACACCGACGGTGGACTGCCGTGTTCCTGGCTCCCATCCCGAACCGCCAAGAAACACCGAGCGACAAACCATCCGAGTTGCATTCCCCGACGGGCCACGCGCAAGCTGCAGCGGTTTGTTGTGCAGCAGCGCCGATATGGCGACAACCTCACCGTTCCAGCTTCCACTAGTTCATTGTCAATCACCTCTTGGTTCGCAACAAACGCTCACTGAGCTGTTATCGCGCCTCCTGGGCACGGACAGCTGCTGCTGATGGTGGGCGGCGGCAGCGACAATGTCACCTCCCCATCGCCCAATCCGGACTGGGCCCGGGGTGCGCGAATGGAGTTCCGATTTGAGGAACGCGTGGTTCAGAAGGGGGATGGAGGGCGTCAAACATCTGGGACGGTGGTTCCGTTGGCCAACCGAAATGCGGTTAATCAACCGGTATTGAATATTGTACAAACTATAGTCCACGGCCGCATATGCGATCCAGTTATTAGTCGCTGGGTCAAGCAATATGGTTGCTTCCACCGGCAAAGACAACCGAGACGACAAGAGATTCCTCGTTTCGAAACGGCGTGGACCGACGAAACGGAGTGGTGGCTTTCTCCCTTCTCTGGGTGTTTCTGCAGGCTCAATTTCCCCAGGCCAGCCCAAACACGTGCAGCCGGTGTTCCCTTGTCGAACACCACGACACACATACCGAAAGGAGAATTGGCGGCGCAGCGTTCAAGCGTGCTGACATGCCCCCGGTTTAGGGCACAATTAGCAATGGGACTCAGAGCTCAGTTCCACATTACAAGCCGCCGCTCACCTGGAGCTGTTGCCTTGAAGAGCCTGGAATCTTGATTCCAACAATGAATCTACAATGGCACGAGCCAGTCGTGTCTCCCTCACAAACAACGGCTGTGCCGCTGAGGCTCTGATGCGGCGCTCACAGCAGCGGATTGTTCCTGCTTCCGCAGCTCAGCCTCCGCCAACATTAGCAGCACACATCGCTCATCGCTCATCGCCCATCGCCCATCGACGATCTCTGGGTGTCGTCATTCATGATTTGCGGGATCGTCGGGTCAAATAAAGTTCAACCACCCCACCAGTCAGGTCTCACCTTACCAGCCTTACAAGACAAGGAATAAACTGGCTAGTTAGTCTGCCAGTAAACCAGGGGCAGCACGGTGCTGCGAAAACGATTCATCACCTACCACCGAGAACCAAGTTCTAGAATCGCGACCCCAAATACCCGCCACAAGGCTGCATCTGACAGGATCTCAGGTCCCATTCAGGAACCAGGTCCGGCGCGAGGAACAGTCACCCGTGCCCCTCCCGCCGATTCCAAAATGCCGGTTCCTTCCACTGCCTTCCTCAATCGTCCTCCGCTTCCAGTCAGACCATGCGCGTGGGATGGGTGCGTAGGCTGAGCGCGCATGCGAGGGAAGAAGGATGGTTGGTCGCCGCAAACTAACGAGTAACTAGAGTCTGAGTTTTGTCACCAACTGACTTGGACAAACCCGCTAGCTCTCTGCGCCGCGAGGCACGAGTTCAACTCTCCGCCCTCAGGTTGTGCCAACAGTCAGTCATGAGACAGATCATCCGTTCTTCGAGAAAAGGCAGAGAGAGAAGACCGGTTTTATTTAGCAATTACGGATCTGGACCTCGCACACTTTCAGCTTTCACCCGTGGGGTAGCAACCCGCCGTGCGATAAAGCGCAGCTGCAGGAACCATCACCAACAGGACAGGTCGTGACCTCTCCCCGGCTCGACCGGCTCGGCCGGGAGCCATTTACGCAAGTTAGCTACAGTCAACTACGAGTAGTGAGAGAATATCCAAGATGAGTGATTGCCGATATTGAAGATGCAAGTCAACTGCATTTCCAATCTTGGATATATCTCACCACCTCCAACCAACCAAATTGACAACAAACACTGCTCTCTAATCTCAAATCATCCCCTAACCAACAAACAAACCCAATCTAATCTCCATCCACCTCCAAGAAAGTAACAGCCCAACGGCGCCCCGTGCACTACAACCCCTAGACGGAACACGAAGCACGGCACAGACGGCACCCACCCACCAAACCCGCCCCCAACACCCACCCCATTCAGCCTCCCCGTCAACCCGCCCACCTCTGTCAGCTCTCACCTGTAACCTGTCACCCGTCAACCTGTAACTCCAACGCCCTTCCATGTCCCCCACCCCACACTCACGAGAAGCCAAAGACGGATGTTTCAGCTTTGATCGCTTGCGCCCCTCGTTTTCTGATATCTGGTTAGTGTCTTTCCAAGGACGGGTACCGATTACCTGGCATCGACGCTTTGAGGGGGACTGCTGCTTTATTGTCGATTCGTATATATACCGTGCTCAATCTAGCTGCGGGGCTCGGCGTGGTGGGGTCGACGAAGCGGGTTCCGACTTCCCCTACCGTTGTTTTGCGGCCGTGTTTCGTTTCAACCCAACGCGGTTGCTTAGTTGCTAATCATCATCATCACGCGCATGATAAGACTCTCGAGTTATGATATGGCGACGAATGTGATATGTGGTTATAGGGACTATCGGTTTCTACATACTGTGTAGTCAAGATGTGACAGGCCACCTGCAAGGGGCCGCGGGCCTAGTCTGGCCGGCCTCAAATGGTGGCCCCCTCGGCACGAAACGAAAGGTCTCTTGAGGGTGCGGGCTGGGGAGGGGAGGGTGAGGGGGGAGGCGGCCTGGACGGTTTGATCTTCGGAATGCCTGCCTCCCACGTTTTCGTCCGTTTGTTTTCTTTGTCTTGTTGCCTGCCGAGCGTCTAGTGTAGGGCTCTGCTGCTATTCTCGGCTTCTTTGCTCGGCGGCGGCGGCGGCGACGGCGGCGACGGCGGCTTTTGTTTAAACTTAGCTAATGGGAAACGTTCAACGTGTCGTGTACATCCGCGTCCTCACTCATCTTTCAGTCACGGCCGCCATGGGGTGGGAGATATTGGCAGATGTCTTAGCGGCAGAGCCGTGGTGTGAATCAGCACCGACCCAAGCCCGGCGCCTACCTCGGCTTCCGGGATCGACCGGCCGGGTCTCGGACCTGAAAGCGGCAACGACCGCTGCTCGAGCGTCCGCGCTGTGGGGGTTTCTGCATCGGTCTCGGCCCCGGAACCTCTGGGTTGCTTTTTTCAGGCATTGGCAGGACTCATCACAAGCCGTCGATCCCATCCGAAGAACTGCAGGCCAGCGATCCTGTCAGTTGCCTCTTTTGAACCCCCACTAAGCAGGCCCTCAGGGTTGAACAACCAACGATTCGTGAGCCGGAAGCGAGCGAGCGGTTCAAGTGTGAGCTGGCTGCTGTTATCCATGGAATTTGAATATTTCTTGATCCTCCGGCGGGTTCTCCGCTAGTTTCAGATCGGCCGAAAGTCATCGGGCAGCTCTTGGGCACTACTGTGACGGCAGATGCATGTGCGTGCCTCCCGCATCCACTTTCCCAGGACACGCTAGGATGGGGTCAGGAAGTTGGGTTTTCCTCGTGCAATCCGTGGAGATTTTGTCCAACTCAAGACCAACTACGGCAGCCCGATCCGCCCCGGCCATCGGCATCGATCAACCCGGCAGGATCTTGGTCTCCGCAGCGGCCTGCCGGTTCCGTGAGACGCAAGATTTGCCCATTTGGGTCTCTCCACGTGTCTCCCGGTCACATCTTACACACGATCTCGATGCCGCAAGCGCCCGAGACGATGTGCCGGTTTTCTGCTGCTTACCGCTCCTTATTTCCCAACCGGCCTTGCGCAGGCAAGGATTTTTCTTTACACTAACCTCGGCCTTGATCGACGAGAAGTCCGAAGATCAGATCAAAGCAACTGTGAAACAGGCAGAAGTCACGGGCAGGTGAGTGGCAGGTGAGGATGTTGTCCGACTCGCTGGCCCGGCGATCAGAAACCCCAAGACAAGCGTTTGCGGACTTGATAATGGGTGGTGGAGTATCGTTTCTGCAAACAAGGGAACATGAGCAGATGCTCGGGCAGAAAAAGGCGCAATGCCAGGCTCTTCTGCCCTACACGGGCAATCCGAAATGCTAGGACAGTGAGATGTTTGGTTCAACGTGCCGTCTTGTGCCAGCTCGAGACCAGTCATGGTCGAGATATCCGGGGTGAGATTCGGCATTCCTTGCACGTAGGGTAAGACACTGCAAATAATCGGTTGTGCAGATCGAGACATTGTATGCCATCGCCCGCACTGAACCCTTGGCCTGCGGCCGGGACTGGGCTTTCTCCAGCGAAGGGTGGGACAACAGATGGCGTTGGTCTGTCATGTCTCTGGTCTCGTGTTCAGCGTCCACGGCAGATATCTCGTCCGCTTCTTGGTCGCCCGCCCGCGCTCCTCGGCTCGGCTCCTCGATCGGGTAGACTGGTCGCCGGGAGCCAGGAACACTAGCGGGGAGCGACCAAGCTGGTGGGACCGCGCGGCTTCTAGCAGTGTTAGGAACACGGGTAGAAAATGGCATCTTCGAATGATAGGAACGCGTCCCCGGAGGGTTCAGCCAACGACCAGAAGCCAGTCAGTCCTAGAACCAGGGGATGCAGATCTGGTAAGGCGGGAAACAGGCTGGTCTTGGGGGCTGCGAGCGACGAACGGACTCCCTTGTGCATGCATGACGGTTCGTTGGCCCCCTACGCATATACATGATAGGAGTATGGGATGGCCAAGCCGATACGGCAACCCGCTCTTGGGTCGCGCGCCACCTGGCCTGCGCCCAACCTTCCCGTTGCCTCGTCGTCTGACCAGCGCCAGATGCGGCCCGTCTTCGCTGCCATACTGCTGGTTAGCAGTTCGGTGTTTGCCCCCTCCGCGTACGACATTAGGGCGGATAGAGTGCGTCGAGATAGATGGGGGATCTCACACGCATACGCTAACACGGATCGGAGTTGTCGAATGCTAGATACGGCCCGCACCCGAGCCGGGAAGGTACTTCGGACTCGGGCACATCTCCGACGACGGGCCAACAGTGAATCAAGGGGGGTTCACCGATTGTGTGAGAACGAGACTTCATTCCGGGCCCGCAATGCGTCGAGACGGGCCCCAGGGACCAAGGACGGTATGTGATGGGAGCACAGGGCGGGGCGGGTTGATGAAATGCCAAAAGCAAAGAATGGAACGGGGCCAGCAACGGCTCGGCGGCCTGGTCGGAGGATGGGATGGAACTCTGCCTGTTGAACCATGTCTCTCTCATCCTCGTCATCGTGGATGGGCAGCCTGCGATGGCCTATCTGCGGCCGGATCATGGATTATGGGCGCAGAGGCTAACGCATGCAACCTTTTCGGCACACAGCTTCGATCCACGGCAGGTCATTGGTGGTGGGAACGGTGATCGTGTTGGCAAGCTGCAAGATGCACTGGTCGATTCGCGCATGAGAGGGGGAGCGAGGGGGGTGAGAGAGGTGCGAGAGTGGCTCAAAAATGGGTGAAAATGTGTGAAGAATGGAGGGAAGGAGGCAGGGGCCCTGAAATCGAATGAACCTAACCCCACGGGAAACCCCGCGCTAAGATCTCTCTCTGCGGAACCACGCAGCCAACCGGGACCGGCGCTCTTGTTCGTGCAGACAGTCGCCGACCACGACCAGACCAAACCCATGGCTCCCTCCGTCTACACCAATCCTCCTTCACGGAACCAACCCAAGTGCTACTAAGGTACCCGGCCTGCATCAGCACCCCAGACTAAAATTTGCAGGCGGTATTAGCTCCGGAGCGGGCCACCACTGACCGGTCATGGCCTGGCGATCTGCATAGGCAAAGCATTTTGCCTTGTCCCGCCCAGAAGTTGTTTGTCTCGAGTACACTTGGTCGTGTGAGCCGCGTGACCCGAGGACAAGTACAAGTACATTTTTCCCAACATGACGACGGCTCGGTGGAATCACGCCCGGGGAAACTTGAAGAATTTCCTTGTGCAAAAGCACCGGAAACTACCAGGTGCCCTGGCTACCTAGGTAGGTACTGGCTACGGAGGAATAAATACGGCCGCTTGACACCCGTCTCTCCCAGTCCTTCCAAGTATAAATGTCCCCTCGTGCCATGCCAGCTTGCCTTTCCTCACGAGCTAGAACAACAGTATCTATCTACCTTACCTGAGGTAGCCAACACCCATCGGCCCCTTCCATAGCAGACCTTTCACTTACTTCCGTCAGCATCCACCCATTTCTCTTCTCTTCACAGTTCTCGTCTTATTTTTTCCACACCCGGCTCAAAGGGGCAAGAGGGCCTATCTCATAAAACCCGGCTACCGTCAGCACCTCCGTCTCCCACCACTGTTACTCGGGCTCAATGGGCGTAACACGAACAACTCACGTCGCGGGCAACGGCCCACAGCCCACCAAGGGCCAGACAGTCACGATTGAGTACACTGGCTGGCTCAAGGACACAAGTCAACCAAGCAACAAAGGAAAAGAGCGAGTGACCATCCCCAACCGTGTGCCTGAATTTTCTGCTAATACCCAGCTTTCGTAGATTTGACTCATCTGTTGGCGGGCCAGACTTCGTGACAAAGATTGGAATCGGGAGGCTTATCACGGGTAGGACAAACTCACTTTCAGACAGGAAACCGGCTGACACCGCACGCTAGGATGGGACGAGGCTGTTTTGGACATTCGGGTCGGCGAGCAGGCAACCCTCGACATTACTAGGTAAGCTGCTCAACCCGTTGACAATCGAGTCTACCACACGAAAGAAGGCTTGGCTAACATTATTGTCGATAGTGACTATGGCTATGGGGAGAAGTAAGTACAACCACTAACATGGAACTCCAACACTGGTGGTCCGAAATTCTCGGAACTAACCGCATCTCAGGGGCTTCCATGGTCATATTCCGCCGAATGCTGATCTAATCTTGTAAGTGAGGTGGCCTCTGGGTTGACTTCCTCGAAATTTGACCTGACATGTTTCGATAGTGACGTGCATCTCAAAGCGGTCGAATGATCTCTGTTCCTGTTTCCGGTTTTCGATGAAAAGACGGGAATTCTGCACACATGGCTGGGCGTTTCTCGGGAAAACTTATTTCCTTCATGTCTTATGTTTTTCCATTTCTAGCAAGAGGGTCTGATACACGCGCAAGCTTATTCCCATTTGAACCTTTGGCAGAACAATAGAACAAAAGAAGAAGGAGGGAGGCAGGCGTATATTAGGATTAGAACTGGCACTTACTCATTAACACGGAGCGCGTGCCCAAACTTAACTCGGGGAGGGAGGGCCTATTGTCAACAACTAGGTGCCATCGAAGGATTAGAAAAGCAAGATATGTAGAAACATGAATTGCAGGGCCTTGATTTAGTTCACAAGATTCCAAGCAGGCGCTTTGAAAGGCAAGAGGCAACTTGCTTATTAAAGGGCAACGAAGGGATATTTCTAATCATGATTAATTAAATTACCGCATCTAGTTAGCCACTGTCTATATATATCTATTGTAGTGTATTACCCCACTCTGCCGTCACTTCCAGGCCACCTGAGGCGGGGCTGAGTTGACTGCCTTGCACCACGCATCCAACACCCTTCTCGCGCCTTCCACCACACCATACATAGCAACCACGATCACCAGAAGCCAAACCTCTCCGTTCCCATCTACACCATAAATCGAAACAACCTCGCCAAACTGGGGAAGCGCAAGGTATCCGACGGGGATTTGTCCATTTCCCTCAAACGAACCATGACTGTGAGTTGCACTCTACACTTTCCCGGTCAAACAGACCCTCGATCTTCAAACCTAGGGCTGCGTCACGGAGTACACGTCTTAGGCCGGGACCTCAGCTTTTAGTATCTACTGGGGCAACTATACCGTAGCGGGCAACTTTAGTGTGACGCATCTTCCAGGGCATTTGGGAAATCATCACTGTGACCGGCAAACGCTCTAACGATGGGTTCGCAGGACAAGAAGAAGCCGGGTGAGGTCGACCTCGTCACCAGGATGCAGGTGGACGAGTCGGTCGTGGGGTCAAACGACATCGACGAATCGCTCTACAGCCGGCAGCTCTATGTGCTTGGCCACGAGGCCATGAAGCGCATGAGTGCTTCGAATGTGCTCATCGTTGGTCTTAAGGGCCTCGGTGTCGAGATCGCCAAGAACATCGCCCTTGCGGGTGTCAAAAGCCTCACCCTCCATGACCCGGCGCCGGTTGCCATTGCGGATCTCTCCTCTCAGTTCTTCCTCCGCGCCGAGGATGTCGGCAAACCCCGCGATCAGACCACCGCTCCCCGAGTTGCTGAGCTCAACGCGTACACGCCCGTGCGCGTCCACGAGTCTGCGAGGTACGTAACATGCGGTCCTGCCAATACCGGACGAAGTGTAGTATGTGCTAACTGACGACCCTGCGCAGCCTCGGCGAGAACCTCTCACAGTTCGACCAATATCAAGTCGTCGTCCTCACAAACACACCTCAACACATCCAACAGACTGTCGGCGACTACTGTCACGAGAAGGGCATCTACTTCATTGTAGCCGACACCTTTGGTCTCTTCGGCTCGGTGTTCTGCGACTTTGGCAAGAACTTCACCATTATCGACGCGACCGGCGAGAACCCACTGAACGGCATTGTCGCTGGCATCGACGAGACGGGTCTCGTCTCCGCCCTAGACGAGACTCGCCACGGGCTCGAGGATGGAGACTACGTGACATTTTCTGAGGTGGAAGGCATGGAAGGCTTGAATGGCTGCGAACCGCGGAAGGTTACAGTCAGGGGGCCCTACACATTCTCCATCGGCGACGTATCCGGCCTCGGCCACTACAAGCGGGGTGGGTTGTACCAGCAAGTCAAGATGCCCAAGTTTATCGACTTCAAGGGAATCAGCGCCGCCTTGAAGGATCCCGAATTCGTCATCTCCGATTTTGCCAAATTCGACCGGCCTCAACAACTCCACATTGGTATCCAGATGCTGCACGCTTTTGCACGGACCCACGGCCGTCTCCCCCGACCAATGAACGAGGAAGATGCGCTCGAAATCGTCAATTCCGCCAAAGAGTTTGCCCAGACCGAAGGCATCGAGGTGGAGTTTGACGAGAAGCTGCTGAAGGAGCTTAGCTACCAGGCAACGGGTGATCTCAGCCCGATGGCCGCATTCTTTGGCGGCCTCACTGCGCAGGAGGCGCTAAAGGCTGTGTCGGGGAAGTTCCACCCGGTGAAGCAGTTCATGTATGTCGACTCTTTGGAGTCTCTGCCCACAGGGGTCACCCGTTCCGAGGAGTCGTGCAAGCCGACCGGCTCCCGCTACGATGGTCAGATCGCAGTGTTTGGGCGTGAGTTCCAGGAGAAGATTGCAAACATTAAGCAGTTCCTGGTTGGCGCCGGAGCGATCGGCTGTGAGATGCTCAAAAACTGGGCGATGATCGGCCTCGGGACTGGGCCCAACGGCCAAATCACGGTGACCGATATGGACTCAATCGAGAAGAGCAACCTGAACCGGCAATTCCTGTTCCGAACTAAAGACGTGGGCAAGATGAAGAGCGAGTGCGCTGCGAAGGCGGCACAGGCGATGAACCCTGACCTGGAGGGCCGCATTGTCACTCTGAAGGAGCGTGTCGGTCCCGATACGGAGGGTATTTTCAACGAGGAGTTTTGGCATAGCCTGGATGGCGTGACCAACGCTCTGGATAACGTGGAGGCGAGAACATATATCGACAGGCGATGCGTGTTCTTCCACAAGCCCCTGCTAGAAAGCGGTACTCTAGGGACCAAGGGCAACACTCAAGTCGTCCTCCCACTGCTGACTGAGTCGTACTCGTCGTCCCAGGACCCGCCGGAGCAGTCATTCCCCATGTGCACACTTCGCAGCTTCCCCAACAGGATCGAGCACACCATCGCTTGGTCGCGAGAGCTGTTTGATAGCTCATTCGTGGTGCCGGCTGAGACGGCGAACCTCTACCTCACCCAACCCAACTACCTGGAGACGACGGCAGCACTTGGCGGCAACCAGAAGGGCACTTTGCAAATGCTGTTGGACTTTTTGAAAAACGAGCGCGCTCTCACGTTCGAGGACTGCGTTCAGTGGGCCCGCATGCTGTTTGAGAAGCAGTACAACAATGCGATCCAACAACTCCTATACAACTTCCCCAAGGACTCGGTCTCGTCGACCGGGACCCCGTTCTGGTCGGGCCCCAAGCGTGCGCCAGACCCGCTCAAGTTTGACCCTGAGAACAAGACGCACTTCTCATTTGTTGAAGCGGCGACCAACCTGCACGCTTTCAACTACAACATCAACGTCAAGGGAAAGACCAGGCAGGACTACCTCCAAGCTTTGGATGCGATGATTGTTCCGGACTTCTCGCCAGACTCCAACGTTAAGATCCAGGCCGATGATAAGGAAGCTGTAAGTGATAGCTCGATTTTCTAATCAAAATGAAGGCCGTGGCTAACATAAACCAGGACCCGAACGCTGGTGCTTTTGACGACGAGGCTGAGCTGCAAAAGCTCGTGGATGCGTTGCCGGAGCCGAAGACGCTCGCCGGTTTCCAACTGACGCCGGTGGAGTTTGAGAAGGACGACGACACGAACTATCACATTGACTTCATCACAGCCGCCAGCAACCTGCGGGCCGAGAATTACAAGATTGAGCAGGCGGATCGCCACAAGACCAAGTTCATCGCGGGCAAGATCATCCCGGCGATTGCGACGACCACAGCGCTGGTCACGGGCTTGGTGGTTCTGGAGCTGTACAAGATCATTGACGGCAAGACGGACATTGAGCAGTACAAGAACGGTTTCATCAACCTGGCGCTGCCGTTCTTTGGCTTCAGCGAGCCGATTGCCAGCCCTAAAGTGGAGTATAAGGGCCCCAACGGCAAGGTGACGCTGGACAAGATCTGGGACCGGTTCGAGGTTGACAACATCACGCTCCAGGAGCTGCTCGATGATTTTGAGAAGCGCGGCCTCACGGTCGCCATGTTGAGCTCTGGTGTCAGCCTGCTGTTTGCTGCCTTCTTTCCACCGGCCAAGCAGAAGGACAAGTTTGGCATGAAGTTGAGCGAGTTGGTTGAGTCGGTTACGAAGAAGCCGATCCCCGCGCATCAGAAGGAGCTCATCTTTGAGGTGGTCACAGAGGATGTCGACGGCGAGGATGTCGAGGTGCCGTACATCAAGGCCAGGATTCGGTAGATGGAAATAAGAGGTGGAGTGTGTGATGGGATGGGATGGGTAGGACTGTAGATTGTGACGAGTGCGAAGACTTACACGGCTAGTACTGGAAGAAAATAGACCTCGCGTTTGTTATGTACGGCCTTCCGTGGCTTACTCACTTTTATGTGTGGGCGTTGGCCAGACCAACCCTAACGGCAGCGGCCATAGGTGTGACTGGTTGAGTGGCATATCCATTCCATGGTGTTAGATTAGCTGCAGTGCGATATCTCAACCCTTACTCATCACCATGCACCACTGGTGGAGAGCTCTGGAGTCGAGATGTTGGGATTACGTCACTATTTGTCAGTTTTCTCGACGGGAAGCTAACTGCTGTGGGTATGCGAAGGCCTTAAAAGAGAACTCAGACTGACGAAATACAGTGGGGATTACCAATGTTCGTCTGATGTGTCGGTCCTGAATAATGCAAATCTAAGCAGCTGTTGTTGTAAGTTTGTACCATGTAGGGGTATCATTACCACTTACTTATACATGGCCTTTAAAGCAGGCAGACCGAATGCAGTAACTCCAGCAAACTTGTAATAACCAACCCCTCTCTCCTCGTCCATATGAACTTAAGAAGTGCTCGCCCACTTGTCGAGTCCTTCTCGCCACTTTTTGGAAAGCCATCATCGCTTTTCGTTTCAGCAGTTTACCACCAGTCTCGAAACTTTGCATCATCACGAGCCACCAAATCCATACCCGGGCTGACATCTCGTTATTCATTCACAAAACAAACACCAGGGCTCACCCACATCGCAACCATGGCAAGCCCACCTCCCAACCTCACACCCCATCCATCCGATCCCTCAGATCCGACGGAATACACATGCACACACTTGCCATCCAGTCCAATTTAATTCAATCCAATCCCTCCCTACCAAACTAACCCCCCTAACTAACCCCACCCCCCTTTCTCCAGGCGACCAAGGACACCCCCTCCGCTACGACAGCCGGCAAAATCACCGACTGGGTCCTTCCCGGCGACAAGTCGGGCGAATTCAAGCGCCAGCAGAGCTCGTTCCGCAACTGGATCTCGAGCGAGCCTGGCGCCCAGTTCCCGCCGGAGAAGGGCAGGTATCACTTGTATGTGAGCTATGCTTGTCCGTGGGTGTGTACTCCTTTTTCTTTTCTTTTTTTTTTTTTTTTTTTTTTTTTGTGTGTGTTTTTGGGATGAAAGAGTGGAAGGGTGTCGGGGGCTGATGTACGGGATGGCGCTGCTAGGCCAACCGCACGCTCATTGCGCGCAAGCTCAAGGGGCTGGAGGATGTCATTTCGTTTTCGGCGGTGCATTGGCATATGGGATCTAAGGGTAAGCCCCCCTCCTCCCTATTACCCATTGTCTGTGATGGACATTCCACCAACGATTGGACTTAGGCTGGCGCTTCCCAACCGCCGAGGACACCGACGCGGCCGGGGAGAACGTCATCCCCGACCCTATCCCCGGCCACGAGAGCTTCACCCACCTGCGCGACCTCTACTTTTCGGTGAATCCCTCGTATGAGGGCCGCTTTACCGTGCCCGTGCTGTACGACATCAAGACGCAGACTATCGTCAACAACGAGAGCAGCGAGATCTTGCGTATGCTGGGCACCGAGGTTAGTCACATTAACCACCATTGGTTCCCCCCGCTCTCCTAAGAACGGCTGAATATTGATAGAGCCCGTGGGAATAGTTCAACAGCCTCATCGACGAAAAGTACCGCCAGATCGAGTTCTACCCGGAGGCTCTCCGCGCGCAGATCGACGAGGCCCACGAGTGGCAGTACGACAAGATCAACAACGGCGTGTACAAGTCGGGCTTCGCCACCACCCAGGAGGCGTACGAGCGCAACGTAATTGCCCTGTTCGAGGCGCTGGACCGCGCCGAGGAGCACCTGAAGAAGACCGCGGCCGAGGGCCCTACTGGTTCGGCCAGACCCTGACTGAGTCGATATCCGGCTGTGAGTGCACCCTTGGCTTAACCCCGTAACCAACAGTCAGTGCTGATGCAGCTTTCCTTTGA